GGATGTATTGTTCTATTAAGTAGAACACCTCGGAAACACTTGTTCAGCTTACACAGATTTTACTGTTTTTTCTGGGAGGGCAACGCAACAAATAAAGTTTATATCATATTGGCGGTACTTTTGAACCAGTCAAATTTCTTGAAGCATCTTCAGCTAACTTCAAGCATCTTTGGACATCTTTGGTTGTGATCCTAAAATCATAATGGGGGCTCTGTATGATGGCTCAAGACATCTGCTTTATTTCAAAATCTCCAAAAGTAAACTTAACTTGCTGATAACCTTGACACAGACTGACAGTGAAATCTCTACACTAGCACAGTGGCACATATAGGAGGAAGATATGTCACTTTTAACACCTGAGAAAATAGAGAGGTTGCATGAAGCCTATGAAGCAACATCTTCCCCATTCTTTCTTCATGACATGTTTTCAGAGAGAGAATTCTCGTTTAACTGGCAGTTAAGGGTAGCAAGTAAAAAATGTTGGAGTCAATTTTTTTTAAATAAAAGCATTAATATGTTTTAAACAATGCCGAGGTCTATTTATATCTGGAAGTTAACAGATTTAAAATGCAGAAATGTCTAAATTCATTATTAGAATTGAAAAGTTGATGTCTACTTTTTTCAAAATTGTTCCCATGTAAGCTTGTAAATTTGTAAGTGATGACAATTCTATAGGTGATAGCTTTTTTTCAAATTGCATTTTTTATCACAAGTCGTTGTGAATTAATTTTTTTATCATTTTATTAATGATAGGTGTTTAGTGTTTAATTGCTCGTTTTCTGTCTGGTATGGTATCTCTAATATGATATACCAGCTGTCAAATTATTCAACAAGATAAGTTTTATAATTGATTTAAATTGTTCAATTGCTATTTCATTATGGGAACTGAATGATCATAATTGTTATTGAGATAAAATTTAATGAAATTGTCATTTTAATATGCTCATCTCAGGGCTTCATAATAAATGACTAGGTCATAGTATCCTAGAAAAAAGCTTGTTGTGAAATGTTATTTTAGAACCTAGTTTAGAACTCAGAGGAAGTTCTTACCCTCCCCCTCTCTCTCTCTCTCCCTGTGTACTCTATAACCCTGAGCCAGAAGGAAGGGGCATAGGGGTCGACACAGGGCTAGGTCAACAAATCTTACATTATCTGGTGTCATATTCTAACAAGAAAATATGCAATTTTATAAAAAAGAATGTATTCTGCCATCCCATCTCTCAGTTCTAAGAATATATACTGAATTTCAGAAATCTCAGTATCACATATTTATAGTAGAGATTCTATTCTTTTCCATTTTCCACTTGCTTAAACAGTAAAGTATTAGGGGATTTTCTGCATAGATGCCACAATGATCTGGATTAACCCAATAATGCCCTCAGGATATTTCTATAAAACCATGTTTTTTATAAACTAGAAATACTACAGAAAAAGAGGAATTAGCAAGGAATTAAGTGAACAGAAATGTAGTTAACATTTTGAATTGTATAAAAATGCCAGAGAATGAAACAGTTTATTCAAGTTTTAGAGAGAAAATAGAGGAATAAGCATGAGCAGACGGAAAATGAAAGTATTGGCAGACGGACATTTTGAATCCTTCTCAACACAGTAAAAGGGTTCATCTTATATAATAATATACTAAAGGTGTCAAATATCTTAAAGCCTCAAATGCAATTTTAAATGAAGCAGAAATGTGGCACTATGGTAATACAATACTGTGAAATATGATGGAAAACATGTCAAAATGTCCAGAGTGTACAAAATGATTAATGTTATTACTCATCTGAGTAAGAAGTCTTTATATCTCATCATCGACACTATCACTTTCTAAATCCTCTCATATCTCGCTAAAATTTGAATGGACTGTCTGATTTTCATACTTTCTTTAAAATTCATCATATTGACTATATGCCTGTTTACTTTATTCCTTTCCTTTTTCGGAACTCTACACACATACCGAGTAGGGAGAAACCTTTGGGAACTTCAATAAGAACCACAAGATGATATAATCAGTGTTATGAAAAGGCCATTAGTGTCATAAAAGTGACAATGCTAATAATTATTAGTGACAAAGGAAGTTTTGCAGACCAGAATGACCTGCTCATGATATCCGTCTGCTTTCTTTTTTTTACTAGTTTACTCTAAAATTTCATTTCTATACAATTTAGAGTGTTAACCACATGCCTGTTTACTTCAATCCTTGCTAATTTTCATTTTTTGCACTTTATTCATAAGATTCATTTGGTCTGGTTGTATAAATATCACTGAACATTGATCAATGCTATCAATAAATGGTATTACATATATAAAATTATTTTTTGCGAAGTAGCTATTGATAACCGGAAAAATATCTATACATTGCATTTGAAAAATTGGATTTTGCTCGATTAACATGATTTTCTATCTTTATCTCTGAACAAACCATAGCCGCGCATCAATGCCATGCACCTGCATGTGGCCCCTCTCCTCCTGCTATGACATAAGCCCCGCATCAATGCCATGCACCTGCATGTGGCCCCTCTCCTCCTGCTATGACATAAGCCCCGCATCAATGCCATGCACCTGCATGTGGCCCCTCTCCTCCTGCTATGACATAAGCCCCGAATCAATGCCATGCACCTGCATGTGGCCCCTCTCCTGCTTTGACATAAGCTCCGCATCAATACCATGCACCTACATGTGTCCCCTCTCCTCCTGCTATGACATAAGCCCCCCCCCCCGCATCAATGCCATGCACCTACATGTGGCCCCTCTCCTCCTGCTATGACATAAGGCCCGCATCACTGAATGCCATGCACCTACATGTGGCCCCCCTCCTCCTGCTATGACATAAGCCCCGCATCAATGCCATGCACCTGGATATGGCCCCTCTTCTCCTGCTATGACATAAGCCCTGCTTGTTTCAGGAAGAAACTTTAAAATCTTAAATATTCATCAACTGGGTTAACAATGACATCAGGAAATAGCCATACATGTATAATGTAGAAAATCATTTCTGTTTTGGTTACATTGAGCCCTTGGCAAAAAGTTCATAAAATGCTGTCTTTTAAGAAATAAAAGGATTCCAGATTTGCATCAATGCTTCAAGACTTGTCCTCCATGTAAATGAAAAAAGTCAGCCTGCTGTTATAGATTTTCAATCTCTGAGTTTGTATAAAGAATACATACTTATACATGTATTGATCTAGACATCTGTCAAATGATATATTACTGCCTTATAATATCCGTCTGCTCGTGTTTATTTCAAATTTTCTCTCTTGAATTTGAATAAAGTTTTTCATATTTTGACATTTCTATACAATTCAGAGTCCCAACTACATGCCTGTATATTTTATTCCTTGCTAATTCCACTCTTTTCCACTCTAATTCGATTTTGAAATCATCCCTGTTGTAACATTTGATTTATAGGATGGCCATCAATAATTGATAGAAGTACAAGAGAATCAAATCAAGATAATTTCATGTAACCAGCGTAATAATTCATGCCTATCACGGAACCTTTCTATGCATTTTTGAGGCTCACAATTTTGGTGGAAAAGAATCGAGAGCTAAGATCTCATTTTGGAACCAATTTTACGAATTTTGGAGGTTCACATTTTTGGTGTAAAGGAATCAAGAGTTAGGCTCATATTTTTGAAATATTTATCTTTAATTCTGTCACACCATCACGCCATATCATACCATCATTCTCTCCAGAATGTTTTAAATGTTTACTTCTTTCTTTATTATTTATATAACACCATATCAAGCAAATTTGAAAGAAATGTCTGTTTTTTTACATTTTTATATAATTTAGAGTGTTAACTACATGCCTGTTTACTTTATTCCTTGGTGATCCTATACTTTTTCTCCTAATATTATATTTTAAAACATGACTTACATAAAGAGGGGGAGAAAACCCAGGGTTCAAAGATGACATACTCTTATAATGTAAATCTGTATTGAGATGATATTGTCGCTGATTGGTTTAGCGAGTCGATCGTTGATTGGTTTAAAACTAGCTCAATTTGAAAATGTTGGAAAACCATGATTGAGGGTATACGTAGATCCGGGAAAGGAGGTGCGCAGAGGAGGAAATCGTATGTCATCAATTGAATCATGGGGTTTCCCTCCTCTTACCTACATAAGTTCTTATCTCCACATTTAGCAAAGGCAGTGTAACCATAACTCAAGTAGTCCCACCCATTCATAAAAACTGTTGTTGAAAATTAATCATTGATAAATGTTTAGTTTATAGAGCATTCTGTTTAGATCGTGGTTAGAGAAGTTGTTCAATGGGTTTTCATATTAGAGTTCAACATGTTTTTTGAATGTCATCTTAAACTAACATGGCAATGAATCAGTTAATAGTTCAGACCCAATGCCAGCTAGTTTTTTTTATAAGATGCAGTTCTGTACATTTTAGTACATGTATGTGAAAATATTGAAATATGAATTTCAGACTCTTAAGGAACTTTTTGATACATACTGTTTTGAATATTTTTTTTACGTTGTTGTAATTGATGTTAACAATTATTTCCATAGTAATAAGCTAAAACTGAAACGCCACTTATACATCCAATTATCATACAAAGGAGAATTCTCTTATTCAGTAAATGCCAATTTCTTTTAACTAAGTAAGAATTGAATGAGATGCAAGGTTTATGTTATGTTAAGAACTCTCGCACAAAGCCCCTTTGTTTCCATATTTTGTTGACCTGGAACTCGTTGTGAGACTACTGTGTAGGTTCCTTTTATGTCACCATCAGGGTGACATATTATTATGGTATCCAACTTTTTTCAGTCCCATTGTCCCGTAGCCCACCCTCGTGCAGTTTTTCACCATTCTGAGTACTTTTCAAATGATTTTTCAAAGTGATCCCCTCTGTCAAATCCTGTTTATGGCCTGTTTTTCCGGATGATGGCTGTAACAAATTTAATGTTTATAGTTGTAACCTGAGCAACCAAAGCAATAGTAATTATGATATAATAAATTAATCATTTTCCTCATTTATTTTCAGATAATGCCCGGATTTTATACTTTTCAACACAGAAGAGTTTTACGTCGATCAACCAACCCCAGTAGCCATCATCATCGAACTCTTATAAAACATCCTCAGGTATGTACATTACGTCTGCAACAAAAAATGCACACATCTGCTACAAAATATTTATATCTTGACATTACTCTCTAAAATTTGACTGAAATATCACACAGGGACTTTCCAGGCCCCACTGACAATCGTGCGAGCAATGAGCTGTTAGAAGCCTCGAGAGATACGATAAAATTTAAATATAAAATCATGAAACATTAGTTAGTGGAACTCAGTACAACTTTTTTTCATAGGCTATTTCAATTACTCAGATGCGAGTAGGCAGTTACCAGTTTCGCCACCAGGTGGCTGATTCGGGGGAATTAACATGGCAGGGTATTGCAAAATTCCCTTAAACTTGAATATGCATCAGTTTTAATGGTTCACTTTTCATATTACCTTTATGTATCTAATAGTTATGCAAATTCAAATATGTCCAGTAAAAGAAAATATTATCTGCCCAACACAAGAAAATATATTTCACTTTTTGTGGTTTTACAACATGGGCTCTATGGGGAATCTCCCCTTAAGAAAAAAGCCATGGTAGCCATGATATTCCATGGTCCGCCCATGGTTATCCATGGTTTTCCATGGAAATTCATGGTTTTTCATGGTATTTTCCATGGAATTTCATGGATGTCCATGGTAATCTTCCATGGATATTTACCATGATCTTCCATGGTAATGAGTGCTTTGGTAATTGGTTTTTCATGGAATGCCATGTTTTTACCATGATACTAAGTGACTTGGAGTTGTAAAATCAACAATTTTGGCAGTTTCTGTATTTACCAAAATCTTCCAAATTGAATCAATAATGAATGAATCCAAGCTGGATTAATCATAGAGAGAAGAATATGATGTCCCCCTCAAATTTTTGAGAAATTCAACCCCCTTGGCAAAAGCTGGCTATGGGTCTGAAATCCAACCATGCACCTTATTTTCATAATCTAGATATATGTTTAGTTCTATGATAAAGAAATTTTCACGTAATAATTGAATTGAAAGCCCATGATTTGACCCCATAATTACAATTAATAATCTGTTTGCTGGGATTTGCAATCACGAAACTTTGGCACAAATTTAAAAAAACAAAATAAGTGATATAAAATCAGCTCACCAGATTCCCTTATTGCAGAGCGATGAGACATGTTTACTTGGTGTTTTTAATCCTATTTGGTTTTATTTGATCAACAATGAATTTTTGACTTGCACTGTCTATACTTACAGACAATTATAATTACTGAAGAGGAGGCACTCATCATAAATAATAACAATTAAGATCATAATACATGTATTTTAGAATTATGCAAATGAACTATATAATCTGTAGCAAAGAGAAATTTTAACACTAATTTGAGAGTTAAGAAACCTAATTAACATAGAACAATGACAACCAAATATTTAAAAATTATGCAAATGATTATGACTTCTTTTTAAATAGATTACATAATTATAATAACCTTAGTACAGAGACAAATAGATTTTTGATCACTTAGGCATTACATTTCAGTTTGCAGTCATAGGCTTGTGTTAAATCCCCCACCTTAATTTCAAGTCAAAATTCTAAAAAGTATATACTTTTCTATGGATTTTTCAGACAATGTGGTTAAATGAGACTTTTGGAAAAGTTCATGATGCACTATTCTTTTTTCTGCATCCAAAAGACCAAACAAATAGCCCATGAAAAACCATGGATTTTTCAAAAGATCAAAAGAATAACCATGGAAAACCATGGCTTTTGATTTCACTTTCCGAAACATCAAAGAAATATCCATGGAAAAGCATGGCTTTTGATTGCACTTTCCAAAACATCAAAGAAATAACCATGGAAAAGCATGGCTTTCGATTGCAATCAACCGTCTTCCATGGCTTTTGATTGCAGTTTCCTCAACTTCAAAGAAAGAAACCATGGTTTTTATTGCATTCTAATATGTAAGACATGTAATTTAAGAAAAAGAGTTATTTATTTTTGAAATTATTTGATTTTAATTTTCATAACTGAATATTAAAGAAACAATAAGAAAACAAAACAGAGGTAGGGCTAGTTTGACTTAATCTTTCCCAAAGACAAGAAGTGTTTGGCCTTAAAAATCTCTATCTAGTCTTGATCTACACAAAAGCCCTATACATATTTCTCTTTGAAATCTTGTGGCCTACTCTGTGCTGCATTAACTGCATTATCATATTTCTTAGAAAAGTTACAAAACTTTTACACATTTTCTCATTTGTAAGGAATCTGAGTTTAATATGTTCCTGCTAAACCTAGAATAACATGAAATGTCTACCCTTTTTTTTCTCACTGATAAGTCTCAGTCCAACTTGGATCTCTGTGTGTCCTGGTAAAAACCATGACACGTCCATGAAAAAACAATTACCAAACCACTAATTACCATGGAAAATCATGATAAATATCCATGGAAGATTACCATGGGTGTCCATGAATTTCCATGGAAAATACCATGAAAAACCATGAATTTCCATGGAAAACCATGGACGTACCATGGAATACCATGGTTACCATGGCTTTTTTCTTAAGGGTCACCGACCTAGAAGTCACATTTTCAAAGAAAATTAATTTTTCAAAGTTGATAAACACTTTTTAAAACCACATTTCTAGATGTAATTTTACATGTAGATTCCAAATATGACATCAGTTTGACTGAATTGTGAATTTTTAATGACGTAAATCAAGATTATTTCTACTCGCATCTGGGATATTGCAGGGCAACAATGTTCTTCAACTATAACTATGCTTAATCATATCTCTCAAGGCCCCGCTTCTAACATGAGCTCATTGTACACAATGTCAGCAGGAACTTGCTCGCTATATACAGGGGCCTGGATAGTTGCTGTGTATCAGATATTTTTGCAATTTTCTGTAATCTGGAGTTTGGGCTTTACATCTATTTATTTTATTCCTTGTTAATCTGATTGCATTGTGGTCTATTTTAAATTTTGAAATGTACCCATCATATAGATTTCTACCATTTTAAAATCCATTGGGAGATAATCTAAAGAATCGTCTTACTGGAGCCTGTAATATTGTTGTTTTATCAGCTAAACAATAGAAGGCTTAGATTATGCAGACATTCATTCATCCATTTCAGGAATCAAATTGACATTTATTGCATAATTGAAGTTTCATTTCCCAGATGTATTTGGATCAGCTTCAGTTGCAATTTAGACTGGAAATATATACACATTCAAAGACTCCTTATGCTCAGAGGATTGCCTTCTCTGACTTCTCTTTTGAGATGTAAGTGCTGAATTGGTGATACCTGTTATATAGCAAGGTTAAACTGCTTCGTTATAAATCAAAATGCTATGTAATGAAGGATTTTGCATTCTTGGCCCAAGAGTAATTCATTCCATTACCTCATAAGCTGCAATAAAACCAGTGAAGGACTGATTTTGAAGGATGTGTTTTTTTGTGCCATGTTATATTCAAAAATCCCTCATTCTGAATCGTTTGTCAAATTGGTATGTGACTCATTCCTTTGGTTGAAAAAATTCATCTCTTAATGTCTTAATTTCAGAGCATAGTGCTCATTACTGTTATTATTATTATCTTGGCATCAGGGTAGAGTCAATAGTATAGAAATAACTCTACAGACTTAAGTAATTAAAGGACATTGGTTGAAAAGATTCATCTCTTAATGTCTTAATTTCAGAGCACAGTGCTCATTACTGTTATTATTATTATCTTGGCATCAGGGTAGAGTCAATAGTATAGAAATAACTCTACAGACTTAAGTAATTAAAGAACACTGGTTGAAAAGATTCATCTCATTACTGTTATTATTATTATCTTGGCATCAGGGTAGAGTCAATAGTATAGAAATAACTCTACAGACTTAAGTAATTAAAGGACATTGGTTGAAAAGATTCATCTCTTAATGTCTTAATTTCAGAGCACAGTGCTCATTACTGTTATTATTATTATCTTGGCATCAGGGTAGAGTCAATAGTATAGAAATAACTCTACAGACTTAAGTAATTAAAGAACACTGGTTGAAAAGATTCATCTCATATTGCCAATGAATCAAACCTCCTGGTGATCAGCTTTGAATTGTAAAACCTTCCAGAAAAGAGAAATTAGTGCGGATGAGTGGTTATACTAGGTAATATTCATATTTCTTGGGATTTGTGAGAAAATGTGAACTATATGGACTAAATGTGCCACTATTGATATCAAACTATAAATGAGTAAACTTTATATCTGTTTTTTTTATGTCACTACCAGAAGTGGTGACATATTGTGAATCACCAGCTTTTTGTGGATGGAAGATGGTGACATTTTGCAAATTTTGGAAATAACACATGTATATGATAAGGTCAATATTGAAATACATGTAAACTATAAAATAATGTGCTAAATCATCCTCTTTTTTATTTATATTAAAATCTATCTTTATTTAAAATTAACTTCTGAAAGCACTATGTAAACAACTGAGTAGCAAGAGACATTTTTCTGTAGGAGATTACTAATGAGTTTTTTGTGTGATACTGAAATAAGACTTGCCTTGTTAATTTTACTCCAATTGATTAATCCTTTGGGGAAATTTAGGTCTTGAAGCCCATGTATTTGATCAGATCAGTTGTATAGAAAGCAATACCCTGAGTTAATCAGCTAGTTCTATAATATGCCCTCTGAGGAAGACTAGTTAGTTTATTATGTCACCACTTCTTCCACAGATGGTGACATATTGTTATAGTGTTTTGTGGACGTTGTTCAATGAGTGATGTTTGGCAGTTGGTGTTCGGTGGTTGGTGTTCAGTGGTTGGTGTTCAGTGGTTGGTATTTGGCATTCTGCAGCTGTACCAAATGGCAGGTGGTGCCATTTTGTTCATGCCTTGTAATTGACAATGTAATCAGTATACTGTTAACATACATGTTGTTATGGTAACATTCTAAATTGTATAGAAATGTCAATCTGACACATTATATCGGAGTGTCATGTCAAATATGACATATAATATTGGAGTGTCATGTCAAATACGACATAAAACCACTGGGATAGGCTCGA